GGTCCCTGCAGAAACCCAGGCAGCACTCAGGACGCCAGGGCAGGCCTGGGGGAGCGCGCTGCTGCCGCCGGTAATCCGGTGCCCCCAGACGACACCGCAGAAGAACAGTCCCAGCAAATGACAAACACGAGTCCGTGTTGTGTCACTCCCTCAAGGGGCAGACCCTGCTCTCAGAGCCCACGCAGCAGAAGCAACATCGTGACAGGATGTCAGGGTGGCGTCTCCCAAATCCTCACCAAGCTGCCCAGCACCTCAGCTCCCACATCTCCAGAAAGACGTGGCTCCGGCAGGGCTGACGGCCAGCGGAGGCCGAGGAGGCAGGGCCCGGGCTGGGCCCGACACCCGCGAGGGAGCGAGGCCTCACATTTTCCAGGCCGGCTCAGCAGCAGGGTGACGGGCGGGGGCGGCAGACTCACCCACTCCTCCTCGTGCCAGTCCACCTGCAGAGAAGACCGGCTGTTCCTGCCCGACCACCTGGCCATGAGGGTGTCCTGGTCGTTCCTTAGCATCACCTGCTCCTCCTCAGTGGAGGTGGGCGAGGCCTTGGAGGCGATGTAGTCGGGCCGGGCCGCGTTCAGCCCGTGGATGGAGGTGGCCAGCAGCTTGCAGTCGCACACGGTGACCAGCTGCCGGGTCTGCAGGGACACACGCACACCTGGCCGCTGAGCACCCAGGTGGGGCTGCGGGGCCCGGCCTCTCTGAGCGCCCAGCCCGCCCCCCTCTGCCCTCCTGCACGGTGCCCACACCCCAAGAGTTGCAGCCCTCGGGACGTCCAAGGTTAAAGGCTGCCTGCCGCACCACAGGCCCGGCTGAATCTCGGCAAGAATTTCCCACAGAAGCCCGGAGGACGCAAGGAGGAGGACAGGGAGGCCAAGAAGCCTCTGACATTCTTGGACCCCGGCCAGCCTCTGAGCCTGACATGGCTGGAGGAGGGGCCCGCGCTGAGCCCAGTGCCGGCCTTCACTGGCTTCCCGGGCTGTCCCTCCATCCCAGGGCACAGGCCTCACTTCAGTTTAACCGCTGAAGACTTATGCTTCACATCTAATACCCGAAGCCCCGGGCAGCGGGATTCCTGGCACAGCACTTGCGGTTCTGGGGAATTCTGCACGCAACAGCAGCTCTGTGGCTCAGAATTTGACGTCTGACAACGTCACCTTTATTTTATGAGTGGATTTAATCCCCGGCTCTCAGTCTTTTTACTGGGCAAACACATGGGAAGGATACAAGACATTCGGGCGGGGAAAAGCAGCTCATCCCAGTGAAGCAGGTGTGTGTGGGGAAGTGTGACCAGAATCTGTGTGTGCACTTGTGTGTGTGCTTGCGGGCACGTGTGTGTTTGGCAGAGGCACGTATGTTGAGAGAGGCACCGAGTCATGTGAAAAAGCATCATCCATCAATTTTTAATCAGGATCAGATGACAGTTCATTAGAAGCTGGTTTGTGGACTATATATAAGCCAGTGAAATTATACTGTTCTTATATTATGTGTGTATAATAATTCAGTTTCTTTTTTCGAACTGTGAGTACAACAGAAATGTGGCCCAAAATGTGCTGGGTAGGCAGTCACTAAGGAAGCAGAGGAACTGTCCCAGCTTCAACAAGACCCCCGTGCGCTCCCTGGAAAGCCAAGTGCATGAAGCCACAGCTGAGGCTCCTGAGCTCCGGGCTCTATCGCTGGTCTGCCCCCATCCAGCTCTGTGACCATGGGCCAGTCACCAACCCCCCGCCCCAGGGCTTTGTGGGAATAGGATCTGAAGTCAGACCTTCAAGGTCATCCCAATGGCACCATTTGTGTGGACAGCTCTAAGCACACATGAGGTGTCCAGGGGTATTCAGAAACCCAAGGGACCCCCACCCACCTGCAGCAGGGTAGCCTCTCCTACCTTGTCTGCTAAGATGGCGAGTGTTCTTTCGAGGCCAGTGGCGGACCTGTCCTTGGCCGCCCTCGAGAGCCTCTCTGCGTAGTAACTCACTTGGGTTTTCAGGGTGTTGATCTGGGCAATGATCTCCTTGGCTCTGACAATGTCCTGTGGTATGTAGATGATGGACTGGCAGCTGGACGACGTACTAAAAAGGATGAGAACAGCTTCTAAGGGTTCTCTCGAATTGGTGGGGACAGTAGCACCTCCCCACCACTGCCCACAACCAACACGAGGTGAAGCCTCCTGTTACTTAGGGCTGTTTCCTAGGCTAGTCTAGTTGTTGGTGGACAAGAGGAAATCTCAGCAGATCCATTCTGTCTGTACAGTAGAGGCTTGAAATGTTAAAATACAATTAAGTCTTTTATCCATGTTTGCATGTATCTGTATTCTGACTGTGTTTCTACCTGTGTGTACAGATGCTGAACCCAGTAGTTACCTGGATGCTCATAACCTTTCACCTAAGAACCTCTTCTGTCAGTTTTTAAGCAGTACCTGAGTGGAGACCTGCTGACACCAGAGTGGTTCACACCGCAGTGAAGGGAGACTGCAGTAGGGGCTGGACTTTGCCAAAAGAAACGCTGTCTTTTCATTTGGCCAATCAGGACTTCAAACTTTCTGCACACAGACCCACACCCTCCCTCGTGTGTCTACCCCAGCAAGTCCCCAGAAAACTGGGCTTCCATCCTCTCTCCCCTGCTCCGGGACTCCCCTGCTTAATGTTCCATCAGATGAAGTGGGGCATGGAGAACATGCCGAACTGGAGGCCAGGCCTGGACGCCTCACTGGCTTTGAAAACCAGTCCTTCCCTCGCCTCCCACTCCCTGCCACCGAGCAGCTTGTGCATCTTGGGATCTGATGTCTAAGCTACTGCCCGGCACAAACACCAGCCTCTGGGGATCCAACTCCACGTCCCTGGCTTCGTGGGACCTTCTAGGTGGGGATGGTAAATTGCATGTCTCTTAGCTAAGATCCCTAATCAACCCAATATTATAAGTTTATTTTTCAGACCACCTGAGGAAGCTGAGGGAAACAGGGAGACGTATAAGGCAGCCATGCTTCATGTAAGGAGGGGCCCTGACCGGTCCCCTCGAAGAGCTGCCCTTTGAGTTTAGGGGAAGAGGGAGGACCACACCCTCCGCTGCTGCCCCTGGAGGTGAGGGTCACACGGTAGGACTGAGCCCTTTCCCTGCTGGGCTCTTTCCAGGGTAACCCGAAGCTGGGTCACCAACAAACTGCCCTGCCCATTCCCCTGACGGACTATGGGGTAAACATGCAAAAACAAAAACCGAAGCACCCCGGAAGAAACAACACCCCAAGCCCAGACACCACAGTGAAAAACGATGGAGTTGCCAGAAGCCCATGCAGCAGGCTGCGGTCAAGCCTGCACAGCGCGAGGTGCACACGCTGCTTTCCAATCTGCAATCACTGCCAAATGAATAGCTGCCATTTAAGACAACTGAGTCTTAGGAATACAATCCCGAAACAGGAGTTTTAAAATTTATTCTTCCCAGGAGCCAATATTTAGAGAACACACGGAACGTGTGCTGCACATACACGTACACGTGTGTATGGAGATGGGTGTGTTCACTTCAGCAAACACAAAGCCTCCGACAAGCGGGACAGAAAGCATCACCCCACTCACTGTGTGTTCCCACAGATCCTGTTAGTAACACGGGAAGAACGTGGCGGGAGTGAGAAAGGATGCACTTCAAAGGGGTGCTGTTCACGGATGACCGTGAACACACGAGCGTGGGAGCCCAACCACAGGCCTAAACGGGGGCAGCCTCAGAGCCTCAGCCACAGGGGAGGGTGTCCTCAGCGTGCAGCACCTCCAGCAGCGTCCGCCCAGCCACGGCCCCTGAGCTGCTCCAGCTCCACGACGGCAGCAGTTCTGAGGACTACGGGTGCCTCACAAGCCCCAGGGCGGAGCCCCTGTTCTGGGCCGGGGCAAGCGCCCCGGGCGAGTCTGGGGAGGCCTGGAACGGCAGTGGGGACCCCAGGCAGCAGGCATGGTGGTTTCTGGCTGCCATCTCATTGCTGGTGGAAAAAGTCACTTGGTTGTATTAATTCTTGGTTTTCCCTCCAGGGATCAAACTGGCCCTAGTAATACTGTTTTACAAATCTCCATTAACTATTAAATACCATTAAAATGTGAGCTGGCTTCATTCCTACAAGACGTGAAGGGAAACTGAAAACTGAAAAGCCACAGGTTCTTGTAAAAGAAGGCAGGAAGGGACTCCCAAACGCACCAGTGGGCTGACTTGAAATCCCAGCACCTGGGGACCTGCCCGGCCTGGGCTCCTCATATCCTGGAGGAACAAAACTGGGTCTTCGCTTCGAGTGAGCACAGCAATGAACTGCTACCAGACTGGGAGGGTTTGACACAGCAGACTGGAGATGGGCTATTCATTATCACAGAACATTGCAGTTGGAAGGAGAATTCTGTCTATGAGGCTACAACTGGGAGCCCACGGGGGCACGGAGGGGAAGCACCTCAGAGGAGGGGACAGTCTTTCTCTGCACGAGAGCAAGACCCAAACACACACTCTCCACAGACAGAAAACTCACCAACACTCCTCAAAACTGCTAAAGAAAAGAACCAAAACGAAATATTAGCAGCTTGTTAGCAAACGGCAAATGCAAAACAAAAATTAAAAAAACAAGTTCTCTTTCGTCAAAATTCTGGAGATCATTTGTCGAGGCCCCGACTACAGGGACGATTAAACTCAAGAGCCCAGCATGCTCACTGGTGAGAGCAACGTCTGCGCATGTGCTCGAGCCCCAGGGAGACGTCCCATGCGGACGAGTAACACCTGCGCGGAAAGGAGAGCTCCCCCTGGTGCAAACCATTCCTGCAGGTGGTTTTATGACATCAGTAGGACATTCAATAAAAATGCATATAATATATTAGAAAAATGCTGTGGAAGCACTTAAGGGAGTAAGAGGTACTGAAGTTAACACGCCACATACTTAGGTATCAACACCCCAACCTTCCTGGGACAGGGACAGCCGTCTTGAGCGGCTTTCTCCTCCGGGGCCTCCACGCCAGCCTCAGGTCACACGCTCGCACCTCCACGCGGCCACATGCAATGCTGCGACAGACACGCGGCTGGCTGTGCAGAGTGTGGTGGCACAGGAAGCTCGCCTTTGTCCTAATTCCCAGAGAAGCACCGGGTCGGTGAATCCTCGGGGTGGG